TTTTATAATTACTTTTCCTTTCATTTTTATTTATTTATTTATTTAATTTTATCGTTCTTTAGGCAGTGTATTTAGGGGTCATTAAAGTGGGTTTTATATGTATAGAAATGTCAATTTTCTGTATAAATAATATAACTTGTTCTTGGCATAAAAAATAAAGGGAAAAAAATGTAGCATGTTGTTCAATGTTTGAGTTTCATGTATTCATCATAGCAGACGTGCATGACCTGTTGCCCTGATTATAATTTTACAGTTTTATTCATTTTTTTTTATGTATACTTTATTGCACAGACGGGTAGAAAAACACAACAGAGAGCAACACATTGTCTGCATATTTCTAATTATTTATATATTTGTCTATTGATTGATTGTTTGATTGATTTAGCTATTTATTTATTTATTCATTTATTTATTTATTTATATGTTTATTTATTTATCTATCTAAATATTTATTTATCTCTATATTTATCTATTTATTTATCTATTTATTTATCGTCTGTCTGTCTGTCTGTCTGTCTGTGTGTGTGTCTGTGTGTGTGTGTGTGCGCGCATTTATCTGTTTATTTTTCTATCTATTTATTCATTTATTTATTTATCTGTCTATCTATCTATTATTTAATTTATTTATCTATTTATTAAGTTATTTATTTATGTATCTATTTATTTATCTTTTTATTTATTTATTTAGCTATGTATCGATTTATTTATTTATTTACCTATTTATTTATTTATTTACCTATTTATTTATTTATTTATTTACCTATTCATTCATTCATTCATGTTTTTATTTATTTATTTATCTATTTATTAATTTAGCTATTTATTGGTTGATTTATCTATTTATATATCTATTTATATATCTTTTTTAAATTTATTTAGCTATTTATCAATTTATTTATTTATTTAGCTATTTATTTATCTCATCATTCATTCATTTATCTGTTTATTTATTTATCTATTTATTTAGCTATTTATTATTTTAGCTATTTATTTATTTATCTGTTTATCTATTCATTAATTAATTAATTAATTCATTCATTTATTTATTTATTTATTGTAAGCCTAAGTTCAAACTAGAGCTAACATCGTCTGTAGTCTTCCAGTTGCTGTGTGTTGTTGGTGTAAATGATTTGCCTTTATATCTGGAGGTTCTGGTTTAATCTGTAATAGGTCAGAAAACACCCAGAGGAACACGAGGTTTATCCAGAGTTTCAGCAGTGGAGCGCAGCCGTCACACAGCATTTCTCTCCCTCTCTGTGATCACGATCCGCTATCTCCTTCCTCAGATCAGCAGCGTATCTCTGTGCTGCCCTATTGGCTTCATTACAGCCTTTGATCGTTTGTAGTTTACTTTCACTCCCAACACTCGCTTCTCACACCGGCAGCTCTTTATATCCTGATGAAGACAGTATTATTTGCCCTTTTTAATTCCTTTTAGATATTTGTTTAACAGAGCAGCGACATTTCTCACAGTGTTTAATTTTATATTCTGACCCAGGCAAGACTCGAACCCGCGGCCTTCTTGCTGTGAGGTGACAGTGCTAACCACTGAGCCACCGTTCCACCCGTAGATATTGATATGTAGCTTTAAAGATCTGTTATGAACAGAAATGTACCTTTTGAAAAGGTATAGCACCAGTGACAGATGTTGTACCCTTATTTCTTAGTGTGTGTGTGTGTGTGTGTGTGTGTGTGTGTGTGTGTTTGGGTGCGTCTCCTGCAGCTCTGTCATTCATCAGTGGTCTCGCTGGACGTCTCTGTTCTCTTCATTTCTCCTCCACAGTAAACAAACACTCTCAGTTTCACACCAGCGTGTTTGCAGGATCTCTATCTGCTCTTAAAGACTCTGTGCAGTGGAGAGATCTCACAGCGGCAGGGTTATTTCCTCACATCCCTCATTCTCAGTCAAACACTGATGTTTATCTGCTCATTTTGAGGTCTGGATAAAAATATCCTGTCATTAGGCGTCATCATTATGCTGTGATCCCCTTTATTTGTTGACATTGACTACAGTACAGATGTGATTGGCTGTGATAAATATGTAATGCGGTCTCATAGTCATCACATGGGGCTTTAGACTGACTATCTGCAGCCAAAGATTTACAATAATGTGAATAAAAGTCTTAATGGAGATTGTTTGCATCACTTTGTTTTGCTCTTGATGGCAAAGAAACTTTATTTCCTTTATTTTATGATAATTAGTTTCACAAAACATATGTGGTGAAATATTATAATACCAAAATCAAGGTAAATTATCCCATTTATCAGTAAGCTGTCAGGAATTAAACAGTCCATTCATTCATTCATTTTCTTGTCGGCTTAGTCCCTTTATTAATCAGGGGTCGCCACAGCGGAATGAACCGCCAACTTATCCAGCATATGTTTTACCCAGCGGATGCCCTTCCAGCTGCAACCCATCTCTGGGAAACACCCATACACTTTCATTTGCACTCATACATTACAGACAATGTAGTTGATCAATTCCCCTATAGCGCATGTGTTTGGACTGTGGGAGAAACCCACGCCAACATGGGGAGAACATGCAAACTCCACACAGAAATGCCAACTGACCCAGCCAAGGCTCGAACCAGCGACCTTCTTGCTGTGAGGCGATTGTGCTAGTCACTGCACCACTGTGCAAAAAAAAAAAACATTTTAAATGAAATTTTACAGACATTTAAAAATATTCTTAAAAAAATACAGTTTCTTAATATTGGTTATGTAATTTCGTTAGTGTTCATGTCTGTGTCTAGTCTAGATAATAAAGGATAATTTAAATAGCAAATCAATCCTTTACAGTATTATTGACAATAATATAATGCACATTAAAAATTATTTTCCCTATTATTTCATAGCTCATTTACACTTTGTGTTAGGATTAAAATATAGGAATTTTCATCAATTTAAATAACACAATAATTTAAAAACAAATTTAAAAAGTAAACAAATTTATTATGCTCATTATTTTTTTATGTTTTTTTTTTATTTCCAATAAATATTTCATGGACAAAACTTCAGTTTTATTATTACAAACCATCTGAATGAATGTACCTTTTTGTATTGTATTTAACTTATTTTAATATATTTATACAGCAGTTCTGTCTGGTTCTTGAATTTGATTGGCTGATTGCCCTGTGATATTCTGCAATAACAGCACTCATACAGCCGCTTCAGCCTTCTGTATTACTCAGCTATCAGCCTGTCATACTGAGCAGAGCAAACATGGTCGACAATCCGCCACTAGATGGCAGCAGAGACTGTATAATAAGCCTTTAGAGGAGGAAAACTCAAACTACAGCTGATCAAATCATTATAAAACAGGTAAGTGACACTCTAAGTCGATCTCTCTCTCTTGCATGTTGTACTGCTGTATTTATACCATAGTAATCTGCTAGTGTTTGCTTTGCTTTGGCTTTTTCGGGGTTGTGATCTCCTGATTGCAACAGAGAAATACTGGGAAATCTCTGTAGACTGATGGCATTTCATGCTGTTCAGCCTTATGTTCTTTAAATATGAGCAAAATCAGCTTTAGACATCACGCTAGAGAATCATTCAAACACTAGCTCTAAATTAATGATGGTGAATGAGCAGCGGTTTCTGCTGTTCTGACGTCAGCTGCAGATGTGAATGAACGGCAGAAGAAAGTAGTTCCTCATACAAAAAAAGTTTTTAGACTCTCCGTTTGAATTTCTTTTTATACACACAATTATGCCGTCGAACTGTTGTATAAAAGCATTAGCACACGATTAGCAATGTGATATGGCTGTATATCATCACTTGTGGGACACTAACACCCAATTCACACGGGGCGTCAGCGTCAACGCTTGACAGAGGGCGTGTCTAAAGTTGGTGCTGACGCGATCTTCATAGCAGCATCAGCCAATAAAATTAGCCCATAAATTTATTCATAAATAAGCCCATAGCCAATAAAAGTGCATAAAGCGTTCTGATTGGCTGACGCTTCCGTTGGCACCAACGGATCCACAATGCAGTTCGACAATGCTTGACATCACTAATTCAAAGAGAATGGGAAGCGTTGACGCTGCCGCCCCATGCGAATCGAGTGTAAGGCACATGGCGATGGCGTGTAGTCTCGAGCTAACTAGTGCCGATATACAAACAAATTGCACTGCTACTCATATGATATTGATCATATATATATATATATATATCGTTATTATTTTTAATCATCAGATTAGTTTTTAGTTCTTATTTGTGTATTAAATCAATTCATAATTGTATTAATTGTGTTATGCAATCTGCAATGCTTTGGCAATACTTGACAGGTCATGCCAATTAAGAATTGACCTGAGAGAGTAAGTGTGTGTATAGTTGTACTGGTTTTGATGGTTTGCAAGGACAAAAATACTCTGTATCAAATGTTTATGAGGCCATGTCTTGTGTCCTCGTAATTCAGTATGCTTAAAAATCAATCTTAATGGGCTCTTATAGCATTTAAATGTGCAACTGATTCCCTGTGAGGCATTGGTTTTGGGGTAGGGCCTCATAATGTGTGTGTTTTTACAGAATAAAAGACATTACAGCTGTGGGAGTCCTCAGAAATCACCAATACCAACATGTGTCAGTGTGTGCGCGAGTGTACCTTGCATTCCTGACATTGTGGAGATGAATTGTCCCCACAAGTATAGCAACACCAGTACATTTTAAATTTGTGGGAACGTTATTTGGCATAAACAGCTCATAAATCAGACTTTATGAAGTGTTTTGAACGTGTAAAAATGCAGATTGTTTGTTGTGAGGGTTGAGTTTTAGGGTAGAGAGACGGAATATACAGTGGAAACAACATTACACAAATGGGAATCCCCATAAAGGTAGCTGTACAAGTGTGTGTGTGTGTGTGTGTGTGTGTGTGTGTGTGTGTGTGTGTGTGTGTGTGTGTGTGTGTGTGTGTCCCCTGCAGGGCCCCGATCTGTCCAGCGTCACACAAGGACAAAAAAAAGTTGTCAGGCGAAGGACAGAGAAAAAAAAGCCCTCAGTCACCCCTCCTTCTCTCAGCCGTGTGTGTGTGTGTGTGTGTGTCGCACAGAGCAGAGTCAGTCTGGAGGATCCCGCAGAGTCTCCGCGCGGCTCCGGTTTGTTTCTGCGCTTTTCGGTCAACTTTCCGCGGCTCGGATCTGCAGTTTCCCCGAGGAGCACAGCATGAGGAGCGGCTCGCAGAGCAGGTAAAGCTGCCTCCTGCGCATCTCTGGAGCTCATACACACGCTTTAGAAACATCTATGAGGTTCAGCTCGGGCTCCTGCACATTATACGGGGAATCATGCAGTAACCTCAGTCTAGAACTTTGTATTTCAGAAATCTGACATGAATGATAAATAAAGGCTATAAATGCATTATACACTGTGATGTTGATGTTTACGAAAGTTGTTCATTTCCCAAACAGATGCACTCGTTAAGCAAATAGTTGACTTTATTGTGTGCAAATGCGCCATTATTTTACTTCTGCACCATAAACAGCAGTTGAATTAACTCGTTTTTATGTAGATGTGTGTTAATTAGTGTCTCCTTGTGTAAAAGCTGAGAGTTTAAAGCAGGCAGTGTTCTAGTAAAGTCAACTATTTGGGATAAGAGTGTACACTATATTAAATAAGATGACTTTGTATTCGCTTTTTAGACTACTGAACCTTTAAAATGACTATAAATGAAGTGTTTTGCTCTCTTAGTTCTCTTATAGCCTAGTTTCAACATGACTTAGGAGTGTTAGAACAATTCAATGGCAGATTCTTAGCATTTACATTTTGTTTAGTAGGTTGCTTTCTGCATGGAAAGCAGTGGACTTTTCAGCTGTATTGGACATTCAGGATTATTTTGAAGTCGGATCTGTGATTTCTTTCGGAGCTCTTCCATCGCAAACGCCTCATATTGAGGGTTTTATCCTCGTTTTTAGACTACTGAACTTTTAAAACGACTATGAAATAACTATTTCAGCGCATAAGCTCTCTCATGCATTCTTGTGTATAGCTGATATGAGAAATGTTGGAAATGTGCAATAGTTTAAGCAATGGCAGATCTTTAGGATTTATATTTTGTTTAGCAGGTTGCTTTCTGCATGGAAAGCATTGTGTTTTTAAGCTGTATTGGACATTCGGGATTAGATTTTACCAAGTCGGGTCCGTGATTTCTATCGGAGCTCTTGCATCACACATACTACATATTTAATAAGAGGATATTATGTTCGCTTTTAGACTACTGAACTTTAAAAATGACTATAAATGAAGTACTGTGCATGCAAGCTGTTCTCGACCTGACTCTAGAAGTGTTAAATGTAGACTAAAGTTCAACATGAGCAGATTTTTAGCATCAGTTTTTAGCAGATTGCTTTGTTTTGCATGAGAAGCATGAGATTTTCAACTGTAGCTGGACATGCGGGATTAGTTTGAACGAAGTTGGATCCGTGATTTTTTTCGGAGCTCTTCCACACGTCACACATTGAGGATGTTATGGTCGCTTTGCTTTAAAAATGACTAAATAAAGCATTTTGCACTGGAGTTCTCTCTTATTTCGACCTGCCTCTCTTGTATAATAGGTGATATGAGTTTAGAAGTGTTAGAAAAGTGCAACAGTTCATTATGCAGATGTTTAGCATGTAGATTTGCATGAAAAGCAATATATTTTGCAGATGTATTGGATATTTCGGATTAGTTTATCCTTGATTTCCTTCAGAACACTTCAATGCATGTTGAATAAGAGCATTTATTGTTCGCTTTAAGACTGCTGAGCTTTAAAAATGACTGTGAATGAAGTATTGTGCACTCAGGTTCTCTCAGTTTCGAGGTTATTTTCTTGTATCGATGCCTGCTGTTAGAAAAGTGCAACAGTTTGATTTATGCATTAGATCTGCATGAAAATCAGTTTATTTTGCTGTACATTCAGGTTTAGTTTGAAGTTTATCCGGGATTATCAGTGAGCTCTTCTAGGGACTCGGGTTTTTGTGGCGGGTTGCTCCAAAACGTGGCCGGGGCGGGGGGTCTTTACTGCGGCTTCAGCGAGCCCGATGCTGGGCTGTTCTGGCCCCGGTGCTGCCCTTGGGTTTCCGCGGTGCGCCGCTTTAACCCACATCTATGATTACGGGTCTGTGGCTGCACTCAAGTGTCATGCATCATTTTACACTGTTTTGAAATGTACTAATAGTAAACCACTGATGATGTGGAGACCCATCGGACGGATAAACATTACTGGTTGCAAAACAATCCTCATGTTCCCTTGGGATAGACGGACACAGCAAATTATGAATTATTAATCTATTAATATTCACATTAAATGGACAATATTTTCGTGACTGCATTCATTCATTTTCTTTTTAGCTTAGTCTCTTTATTAATTAGTGGTCGCCACAGTGCAATGAACCGCCAACTTATTCAGCATATGTTTTGCGCAGCTGATGCCCTTCCAGCTGCAACCCAACAATGAGACATACACACTCATTCACACACACTCGTACATACAGCCAATTTAGTTCAACAATTCCTCAATAGCGCATGTGTTTGGACTTTGAGGGAAACCGGACCACCCGGAGGAAACCCACGCCAACATGGGGAGAACATGCAAACTGCACAGAAACGCCAACTGACCGACCCAGCTGGGCCTCGAACCGGTGACCTTCTTGCTGTAAGGCCACAGTGCTAACCACTGAGTCACTGTGTCACCTACATGTAACAGGAACACCTTAATATAATGTTACCCATTATATTAAAGGCCCAAACAGAGTATGTCCAAATAATGTGCGTGTAAACACTGTAATTAACTGCTTGTCCAATGTCGTCACAGTAATCCACCAATAAATAACACTGACTCATGATCAGCCATGATTAATAAGTGTGCTGTCACTGATCGTGACCGCTAATGCGTGTTTAATGGGTAAACCACTGACATGATTCATGATGATTGTCTGTCGATTAGCAGTTCTGTATTCTTTCACGCTGTATATCTTTGGAAACACAACTCAGGGTTACCACAACTCCACTTAACTTCATAATCAAGGGTATAACACGGTGCTGCTTATATTTTAGGAGTGTAAATATAGTGGCGCAGAATTAATCCTCATTTTAAGTTCAGCAGGGTTGTCAGGTTTTCTAGTCTTGGTAAAAATAGACTAATACTGTCCAAACTCAAAATATGCTGACATTTTTTACACCGCCGCCCGTATGCATTATAAAGGGATCCTTTTTTAAAAATATACTGTATATTTGTAATGATTATCACAGTGGCCTCACAGCAAGAAGGTCGCTGGTTCGAGTCCCGGCTGGGTCAGTTGGCGTTTCTGTGTGGAGTTTGCATGTTCTCCAGTTTTCCCCCACAGTCCAAACACATGCGCTATAGGGGAATTGATAAGCTGAATTGGCCGTAGTGTATGAGTGTGTGTGTAAATAAGTGTGTATGGATGTTTCCCGGTACTGGGTTGCAGCTGGAAGGGCATTCACTAGGTAAAACAAATGCTGTATGATTAAAAAGAGAACTTTTAAAAGTACTCAAGAGTGTCGAGTAGTGAGTATCACACTGTGATAAGTTGATGTGTTCACATGCAGTTTGTGCTGGGATGTGTAAACGTAACATTCTGTAGTGCATTTAGTGATCTTCCTATGTTCGTTCGTCCCTTCCAACCTTCCTTCTATTGTTTGTTTGTTCTGCCCTTCCTTCCTTCCTTCCTTCCTTCCTTCCTTCCTTCATATGGTCGTTTCTTCATTCATTTGTTAATTCTTTCGTTCCTCCCTTCATTTGTTCGCTCATTCGTCTGTTTGTTCATTTTTTGGTTCCTTTCTCCATTAGGTCTTTTGTTCATTCATTTGTTTGTTCGTTCATTTCTTTCTTCCTTAGTTTTATTCAGTCCTTGAATCCATACTTCATTCATTTGGTCCTATCTTTTTCCTCCCTTCATTCGTTCTCTCATTCATTTGTTTGTTCGTTCCTTCAATTTTGTTCCTTTCTTTATAGTTGTTTGTTCGTTCGTTCTTTCGATTGTTCATTCATTCCTTCCCTCTTTCCTTCCTTTTTTTCTTCCTTCCTTACTTAGTTTGTTTAGTCCTTCCTTGAATCCTTCCTTCATTCATTTGGTCATTCCTTTGTTCCTCCATTCGTTCGTTCTCTTATTCATTCGATTGTACCTTCATATCTAATTGTTTGTTTGTTTGATCGTTCCACTTATATTTTTGTTTGTTTGTTTGTTCATACGTTCATTTGTTTGTTTGTTCGTTCATACGTTTGTTTGTTTGTTCGTTCATACGTTCATTTGTTTGTTTGTTCGTTTGTTCGTTCATTTGTTTGTTTGTTCGCTCATATGTTCATTTGTTTGTTTGTTTGTTCGTTCATACATTAATTTGTTTGTTTGTTTATTTATACGTTCATTTGTTTGTTTGTTTGTTCGTTCATACGTTTTTTTATTTGTCCGTTCATCCATTAATCTGTTTGTTTGTTCACTCATATGTTCATTTGTTTGTTTGTTTGTTCGTTCATACATTAATTTGTTTGTTTGTTTGTTCTTTTAAACGATCATTTGTTTGTTTATTCGTTTGTTTATTTATACGTTCATTTGTTTGTTTGTTCATTTTTTCCTTCATATTTTTGTTTGTTTTTTTTCGTTTGTTCGTTCATCCGATCATTTGTTTGTTTGTTCATTCTTTTATACGTTTGTTTGTTTGTTTGTTTGTTTGTTTGTTTGTTTTTTTATACGTTCATTTGTTTGTTCATTTGTTCCATCATATTTTTGTTTGTTTTTTCGTTTGATTCTTCATTTGTTTGTTTGTTCATCTGTTCCTTTATATTTTTGTTTGTTTGTTTGTTCATTTGTTCATTTGTTTGTTTGTTTGTTAATTCAGTATTTGCTTTACTTTCTATGTATGATTTGATTGGACAGGAATCACAATACTGATTATTCTACTTTAGCCAATCACCATAGACCGGAAAGAAATAAAGTAATGACTGCAGATTGAAGGACAGTAGTGCAGTAAAAGTATCGATACTGCACTAAAAATGTACTCAAGGAAAAGTAAAGTACACATGTTAAAAACTACTTAGTAAATTACAACTTCTGAGAAAAACTACTCCATTACAGTAGTCTGAGCATTTGTAATCGGTTACTCTACACCACTGCCTGCGGGTGAGTAAATCAACAGGAAATCTTCATTTTCGAGTGAACTATTCCTTTAATCTTTCACAAAGAGACACCCGTGCATTTTGTTAACGATTATCTTTTATAAAATATCAAACGTGATGCAATGTTGAAAAAATGTTACAATCAAAAGCACAAGTGGGCTGAAGGCGATGGGTTATGAAATGCGTGCGGTTGATTCGGGAATGTTTGCAGCATAAGTCATACACAGAAGAGGCTGCCAATAGGAGCCGGACAGGGTGGGGTTTAGTGCATTCTGGGAAAGCCATTGGGAAGTATTGGACCTTGTTAACACATCTTTGACTTTGGCCATATTTGATACCATACATTTAGTTTATTTATTTAGTTTTACAGACACTCCAAAAACATCATCAAATATGGGCAAACCCAACCACTGCTTAAAATGTCATTTAAATTCAGTCTATCTGTTGGGTTTGTCAATATTTGACCTTCATCCTCCACAAAAACAAACAATCAAATAAAAAAAACTCAATGGCAAAAGAAGACAAATAGGTCAGGATTACAACACGGCTGTTGTAACACAACTTTGGGTCAAATATTATCAAACTTAATTTGTTTTTGTTTTTTTGATTAAATTTTAATGACATTTTTAAACCAAATGTTGGGTTTGTACATATTTGACCATTATTCACACCCCAAAAACAAACAAACAAACAAACAAACAAACAAACAAACAAACAAACAAACAAACAAACAGTTAATATCAAAAACTGAAAAAAGAAAAAGTGTCAGGATAACAGCAGTCTAAAAAATGATGGGTTGGTGTAACACAACTTTGGGTCAAATATTATCAAACTTAATTTGTTTTTGTTTTTTTAATTAAATTTTAATGACATTTTTAACCCAATTGTTGGGTTTGTTCATATTTGACCCTTATTCCCACCCCACAAAAACAAACAAACAAACAAACAAACAAACAAACAAACAAACAAACAAACAAACAAACAGTTAATATCAAAAACTAAATTGCAAGAAAGAAAAATGGTCAGAATAACATCACTCTAAAAATGATGGGTTGGTGTAACCCAACTTTGGGTCAAATATGGATAAACCAAATAAAATTTTTCAACCCAACCAATGGATTTGGCTATATTTGATACAAATTTGGGTTACAACAACCCAGCAGTTTTAGAGTGATAATAATTTGCATGCAGCAGTTCATTTCACTTATTTACCCAGTATTTCATACACTCAAACTAAAAGCTGGGTTGCTGTAACCCAACACTGGGAAAAAATGGGCAAAACCAACCACTGGGTTAAAGATATCATTTCAATTCAGTCCATCTGTTTGGTTTGTTGATATTTGACCCTCATTCCCCCCAAAAAAAGCAAACAATCAAATAAAAACTGAATTGAAAAAAAGAAAAATCAAGAAAGTGGGTCAGGATTACTACACTGGGTTGTTGTAAGCCAATGTTGAGTCAAATATGGACAAATCTACTTGGGGGTTAGTTTTTTAAATGTAAATTACATTTTTAATCCAGCTGCTGGTTTGGCCCAGTGCTTAATTTGGGAATTGTGAGGTCCCGGAACAGATCGGGGTAGCGGATCCGGCATGTTACCTGAGCATGGAGAGGCGTCGTGCACAAAGGACGAAAGTGAAGAGCGGGGTGTTGTCGTGGACGAAAGTGAAGAGGATTAGGGAGTCGTGGAAGAACAGTGAACAGCGGACGGGGGATCAGATTTTAGAAGTGCCGGATCCGGCGTGTTCCGGCACAAATTAAGCCCTGCTTTGGCCATATTTGACGCAGTGTTGGGTCACAGCAATCAAGCTTTTTTTAGAGTAATTAATTGCATGCAGCAGTCCATTTCATTCATTTATCAATGCTGGGTTGTTTTAATCTAACGTTGGGTCAAATATGGACTTGTTGGGATATAAAGTGTAACTTAAATTCTCACCAATAATGCTGGGCTGTTTTAGCTCAATGTTGGATCAAGTTGTCGGCAGCTAGCTCTCTGCAGCTCTCACATGATCTCCCGCTGAAGCTAAGCAGGGCTGAGTCTGGTCAGTTCCTGGATGGGAGACCACATGGGAAAGCTAGGTTGCTGCCGGAAGTGGTGTTAGTGAGGCCAGCAGGGGGCGCCCAACCTGCGGTCTGTGTGGGTCCTAATGCCCCAGTATAGTGACGGGGACTCTATACTGATCAGTGAACGCCGTCTTTCGGATGAGACGTTAAACCGAGGTCCCGACTCTCTGTGGTCGTTAAAAATTCCAGGATGTCCTTCGAAAAAGAGTAGGGGTTTAACCCCGGCATCCTGGCCAAATCTACCCACCGGCCTCTGTCCATCATGGCCTCCTAACCCTCCCCATATCATGATTGGCTTCATCACTGTCTCCTCTCCACCAATCAGCTG